ATCATTACGCTCAGCCATTTTAGAGTTTAACCCAAATTGATTTCTTGCTAGAGAAATTGATTCCATACTACTGTTTATATATATATATATATATATATATATATATATATATATATATATATATAATCACATTAATCATGTAATAATTTTCACTTTTGAAAAATTCATTAGTACATGTCAAATTTCATTCACACTTTCAAAAATTCATAAATTCTCCCTACTAAAAAAATAAAATCTTACATGCTAATACAGCCCCATTTCCAAAGCTGCTGAACAAAATGTAAGTACAAACAGAATGCAATGATGTGTAAATCATTTAACCCTATATTTTACTGAAAATAGTACAAAGACAACATGTCAAATGTTATAGCTGAGATTTTTTTATTAGTTTTTTTGAAAAATATATGCCCATTTTGAAATTGATGCCAGTAACATGTTTCAAAAAAGTTGGGACAGCGGCATGTTTACCACTGTGCTGCATCACCTCTTCTTTTCTTCAGTCAGGTGAAGGAGCGCTGTTAAACACACACTTTGTAGTTGAAGGGTGTTTTCATAGTGAACAGTAACCTGATAGCTGGATAGTGAAAAGACACTGCGCTCATCTCAGGCCATGTTAGTTTTAAAGGGCTCATATCCTACATTTCTATTTTGTGCATTTTTTATTTTATGTCCACCTTTGACACCTGAATTTCATTATCCCTTTAGAATTAAATAGGCTCTTTTTATTACTGTGCCTTCAAGAATGATATGTGTTAATGATCTCTCTTCTTCAGCATAAGTAGGCAGGGCTATATCACTGTAGACTAAATAGGCAGATATATGTAAAGGCAATAATTTTTGTGCCATCATAAACACATTGAGTGTTTTCACATATGGAGCATATGGATTGGGCAGTGAATGTTACCTTTTGAAACTTCAACAAGGTTTACATGCTACATCAAACGTGCTAACTTAACTGCAAGTTATAAAGCAAATGCAAAATCTCCCATAGGCGTTCAGTTAGGTTGGGATCTGGTGACAAAGACGGCAGCACATGATTTACAAAATTTTCATACTCATCAAACCATTCAGTGACCCCTTATGCCCTGTGGGTGGACACTCTGTCATCCATGAGATCACTTCTGCTTTTGTATTTGCAGTGATCCTCCCCTCTAAGGTGACAAGTGGTCTCAAACCATGCCAGTAAAGTGCTCCTCACATCATAATACAGCCACCGGACCCTCTCACTGTAGCGGTCAAGCATTCAGGCCAGTACTGTTCTCATCCACTTGTGGTGAACATGGTGAAGAATGGCTGATCAGACAAGATCACTATTTTCCATATCTCTGTAGACCAGTGTTGATGGATTTTACACCACTGGACATCACTGAATATGCATTTGTCATTGTAATGAGGAGTTTATGCACTGCAACCCTGCAATGATATCCCTCATTATGTAGTTGTGGATGGACAGTTCTTGCTGGTAGTCTGGTGACATCCTGCACTGATATTCTTAGTCACCTGAGGAACAGCTGCCCTAACATATCACACCAAAAATGCTGTCTACTATTACTTCCACTGTAAAAAATGAGATGTCAGCTTAACTTAAAATTGTAAAATAACTGACGCTAGAGTCCACACAACTGAAACTTCTTAGTTAAGTCAAAAGTTCTCCCAACCCCCTTTTCTAGTTCTGGATCTTGGTTGGGTAAACAAAATAGAATTCATGTTCGAGCTCTTTCCCTCACACAATCCCGTCAGGCCTTTTCTCCCTTTGGGTCTCCAGAGATGGACAGCTGTGGCTTTGCAGCGCTTCAAATTCACTTTATGAACACAAAATGTGAGCAAATGCAGATGTTCCTGAGTGGCACAATTGACTAAGCCATCACCACAACAGGAGATTGAACTTCAGTGATGCCATAGCCATACATACATAAGTGAGTCCCCAAGAAAATCTCTGATAGGATTGTAGGACTGAAAGATACCATGTCTTTGGGTTATTGTGTGAATTATGGTCAAGTATGTATACATATTTATAAATGTTGTTAGCACAAAATAACTACATATTACTTATTCAGTGCACCATGGAAGCCTATGGAAGGTAATTTTTGCATAGTTTCTCTGCATGCATTTCACCCTCATTCATTTAAAAAGCTTTTATATTAGTCATGCTGATGTTCCATTCTACTCATTAAGTCTGCAGAAAAAGCAGAAAAACTGTGCCCATCAGTCTTATGTATTGAAGAGAAGCAGCTTGCACCAATATGTATAAGTGTCAGGGTTCTGCCTCAGCTGCTTACACGAAGTGATGAATAGCTGATCTGTCGTCCAGTATGACAGGCACAGATTAGTCTTTTATTGTATGACAGTGGCCTGCAGGGATCTGGTTTCCCTGGTGATGGTATGAACACCATAGCAACAGCACTGCAGAGTTCTCTCAGAATACTCATATAAGGACATGAGCGTAGACTGAATCTGTGACATAAAAATATCTGAAGCACCTGCCCATTGGTTTCTATTATTTGTGTTTCAAGTCTACAAGTTTTCAGTTCTTTTCTAGGTTTGGGAATTTAGTGTCCATGGTAATCGACAGTATATGGATGTGGTGGACAGAGAAATTAGGTGTTATAACATGTTGCTTTAAATTCAGTCTTGGTGAGGTCTAAACGAAAATCAAATACACAATTTCTCCCTTACGCCAAACATACCAAGACAGGTTTCCAAAGTTGCTTCTGTAGTTGCACTGGCTATGTGGGCACCCCTTCTGATTAGTGGGCTCAGCTACTTCAGCCAGTCCCATTGTTAACAGGGGCATAAAATGTGCTACCTGTAAAGTTTGGTTGTAAAGGAATAATGGTCTGGGCCCCTTAGTGCCACTGAAGGGAAATCTTAACGCTGAAGCTTACAGTGACACCCTGGAGCAGTTTTTCCCAGCCCTTGTTCTGGAAGTCCACTGCTCTGCACTTTTTCATGTTTACCCTGCTCCCAACATACCTGATCCAACTAATCAGCTCATTAACAGCCCATTATTAAGTTAAACCTATCCACAAAGTGCCTGAGTGGCTACAAGTCTTCATTAAAATAAGCAGCAGTACACCTGATTCCACTTGTTTCATCAGTTGGTTTCAGCTCCTCAAATGAAAGACCTGCAGCCACACTGCCTTTGGGGATAAGATTGGTGAGTCATCTCTTTTTCACCATGACCATGCCCCCTGTGCACAAAGGGAACTCCATGAAAATATGGTTAGTCTAGATTGGTGTGGAAGGACTACCCTGCACAGAAACCACCTCCACCTCATCCAAAGACTGTGACTCAAGCCTCATCGCACAACATGACTGCCCGACCTCACTAATCCTCTTGTGGCTGAATGGAAGTGAATCCCCGCAGCCATGCTCCAAAATCTAGCGGAAAACCTTCCCTAAAGTGTGGAGGCTGCTACCACAGCGAAGGGAGGATCAACGCCACACTAAGACCCTTGGTTTTAAAATCCTCAACAAACACATGTGAATGTGATGTTCAGGTGTCCGCATACTTTTGGCGATGTAGCGTAATAGAACCCAAAAAGGCCTGCCCCACTTTCACACATCTAAATCAGATTTATAAGTAGGCCTCTGCTTCCATAATGATGTAATTATTACTGTTCATCAAGCTTTCTTAAGAAGAAATTTCTTCCGAACAACTGCTTACAGAGTTTTTACGAAGACTCTGAAATTCACCAATGTTCTCTTACTTGGGATCTGTTCTTAGATAAGAACAGAATCTACAAACACTCAAGAGTTAAGGAACATGTAATGAATCTGATGTAAACTTTTCTTAGGACCTTTCTCAAGAACAAATTTAAGAAAAAACTTATTGATGTATGAGGCCCATCATTTACATTTAAAGCAAAACATTAGATGTGTATCATATTAACATATATAAATGAGCAAAAAACATTTAACAGCCTATGCATTAAGGACTGATTAATATACATAAATTTCATGTTTTATTTGCTTTTACAGCCCAAACAACTAGAATAATGCTACTTCATAGAGTAGTTTTGAAGTCTGTGTACCAAGTGATTCTAACCACTATTAGGTAAAAGGTAAAGGCCAACTGAAGACACTAATGGCTACATTGTAGCAGCAGATGGAGCTGTCATGCTAACAGGAGTCTCGGTCAGTGTGCCAGCAGGAGGGACAAACAAGGACAGCTGGAGCAAAACGGTCCAATGAATAGATTTGTAAGCTTGACCAAAAAAGGGGAATAGATGATCACTAACAACCTAAAAACAGCCCCATGAACACAGCACTCAGCAAAGGATAAGCAACTTTGGAGCATTTTAAACATGTCTGCTACTTATACAAATGATTAAAGAGTCACTTCAGGCAAAATGACAAATTGTAACCATCACAACGTGTTGTAGACAGGCCTACTCGCCTCCTACAGCGGTGTTGCAGTAGGCTCTGGTATGAGATTTTCAAGTTTAAAGACTAGTTGAGGGAAGGCTCTTTTATTTGTTTTTGTTTTTTTTACTGCAAGCTGGCAAATGCAGAAGGAAGCCAGATAGCTAGCAATACTGCTACAAAATCAAATGCCACTTCTGTATCTATTAGCCTCAGTGACTATGGTAGCAGATAGAATTTCCTTATGGCACTTGGGGCAGGTGGGTTCCCAGTGGTTATATGGCATATTTGCATAATGCATGCTGGGTATTGTAGTGAGACTGATGGACACAAAACATAAAAAAGGATACCAAACTCTGAACTTAAAAAAAACAAAAAGCACAATAAATGATAGTTTAGGGAGAGTTTCGAGTAAAAGTTCTTTGGTTCTTTAATCGAGTAATGGGAAATTGATTATATGCAACAGATGCAGCTGTTAGACGCTAGGTTTCAGTTTGCTGGGGTGTTCCTTCAACAATTCACATTAACTTGCAGCATAATTTCAACTGTGCAGGACAGTAGCATCTCCTTGTGTTCACATGGCAAAACTGCAGCATATTTTAACTTTAGATGTGCTTGAAAAACAAAATACAACCTGTTATCTTAAAATGTTTTATTATTATCGGTTAGATTCATGATGGGGCAAACAATGAGTGGCAATATTTCAGTTTCTTTTTTCCAGTGTACACCAGATCAACACGTTTACACATACATAAACACACATACAAATATCAGTGTCCATATACAGACATGCGTGTTTGTATATGTGTCTTTTCATATGTATGTGCATCACATAGACTGCACTGCAATGCTGATATGCACACACATAAATTAGGGCTCATGTCCATTTCACTGTGGCTTTAAAGTTGTTGATAAATGTTCAATGGACCCGTTGTGCCATGGACAGCTGCATACGATACCAAACTAGCAAACAGCCCTGTTTCCTGTGCATCATAGGGGATTTTAGTTTGATCAAACTTCATTTTGATGTGCGCTTTGCTTACAAATCATGGGTGCACTGCACAAACTGGATCTGACTGCTACGTATACAATGGAGCTACACATGCATTTTAAAATGGAATTTCACTGTTCTTTTAAAATTTCTGCATAATTCAATCACTGAAATACAAACAAAGTAATTCATAGTGGTTTGATGTGAAATACAGAAACTTACTAAGTCCAATTTCCCTTACAGTGGAGGTGATAGGAACCAACAGAACCATTTTATTTACTATTCAAAATGACCAGTAAACCTACCCGTGTTTTGTGAGTTTTGATATGTAATATTGACAATGGTTAAATAGTGGTAAATCTTACAAAATAAGTTGCTTTGGTCACTTTTTATCTTACAACATCCTTTCTTACATACAACTATGCAATTAAGGGATTCAGGTTTTAGGCCAAAAAGTATTTGCAACTATTTCACAAAACAAGTTTCTGTGAAGCTTTTAGAAGCAGTAAATGCTTCAGACTTGTTCCTATCAGCACCACAATGAACAATATTGACTCAGTAGGTTTCTCTGCACCGTTTCACGTCAAACCACTCTGAAGGACTCTGTTTACATTGTAACGACTGAATTACATAGAAATTCTGAAAAGAAGATGGAAAATGAAGATTGTTTATGTGGTCTGTCGGTATGTGGCGTTATTTGTGTGCGCATTCATGAGATGATTTCTTCGAAGTGTCAAACAGTCCACATTCTTGAAAGTCTGACCCTTTTTCCTTCCACTAAAACCAGCAGCGTCCAATATTGTTCTCGATTAGAACAGATAGTCATCTGTTTCCAAGGAACCATTTTTCAGTCAGGTTCAGTCACTTCACTGCACTGAGGTCCAATGAATTCATCCTGCACTGCGAGAGCAAAAAGGTCCAATCACTGGCACCAAATTCCATGAACGCTACCCATGTGTTTGATTGTTTACAGTGGAATAGTTCTGTTAGTAAAAAAATACAAATTTACAAAAAGAAACAGAAGAACGAAAGAAACAAACGAGCAAAAAGGCAAAACACTTGTCTCTGAGAGATTGGCAGCAGAGCGAGCATTTGGTCCACGGATGGCCAGGCTTTCTGTCTGTGACTTCATTTGGCTGTCTATCAGAGGCGCATGAGGACATGACTGGGTGCTTAATAGGAAAGAGGAGGGGTTTCCAGAAGAATCCTGATGTCAGTTCTCTAATTGGCTTCAGTGATATTGTATAAATTGACATTATGACTCAACACATTATTACCCATCCTATTCTGTCGGTTGGCACCGTGGCAAGAGATCACAGAACACTCAAACTCAAGCTTACGACTGAAAACAAGATGAGATTTGGAGATCTGGCCCTTCTTGTCAGCTCCCAACATTTCAAAAATAGGTGTGTGGGTGGGAGAGATAGTGGGGCCAGATATGAAGGAAAGCAATTCAAGCTCTTTAAAAGTCTTTATGGCAGTGGTCTTCCCTGACCCTTGCAGCAGGGACATGGGTGCCACTTGAACCCATTCCGGTTTAAAATCTGTACAAGTCCTTTAAGATTTCCCAAGTCCAAAAGGGCTCGTCGAGAATTTCATTAGTAAATCTAAATATAGATACATCTTATAACTTTTATTTGGCTTGTCTCTCCCGGGACACTGCGTTTTGTGTTTTCTGGCTCTTGTCAGTTCAGTGGCATGTTCAGCTGGCTCTCAGCTGGTGTAAGAGCGTTCAGTCTGTTAGCAGCATTTCTTCTTGCGTTTGCTGTTCTTGCTGAGTTTCACCACTTCGCTCTGTTGTTGCTGCTGCTGCTTGGCCACAGACTCTTTCCTTGCCTTTAGAACAAGCTCTGTGATGCAGTTGAACATCTGAGATGGAAAAGACAGAAACACGTACATACCGAATACCAGATTAGAAATACAGCTCAAACAGAAATGGAAAAAACTACTGATATTCAATAAAATTATACATGTCAAAAACACATCTGTCATAAAGGGTCTATGACGATTAGCTTGGCAAAATCTGTACATGTGCCACCAACACTTCAAACTCATGAAAGAAATTTCAAAACTGCTTTTGTCAGTCCTCTTCAAGCTTTCAGCATAGGGAAGAAGCAAAGAATGTTTTTAAACTTTCTAACCTCTATTCATCTCAGCTGTGGAACACGACCCTTTAACTCTCCTACTGATCGCCTGCAAACTCTGCCCTCTTTCCCCATCACTTAAAAAGGAATTTTACTCAAACTTCCAACTCATTTAAAGGGGAATATCCAACTTGGAAATGAACCAGACCAATCTGGTCTGGTTCAATGTGTATCAATGTGTCCTCTGTTGTCATTTAATGTATTCTGACTTATGACAACTTCCTATACTGAGAAAAAAAGCACACTCATATACTACTGCACCACATAAGGCAAGTGGTGATTTCTTTAAGGAAAATCATGTCAAATGTGACTTTTCAGTTGCAACGGCCTATTATATCTTGTATTTTAATGTGTATCTCCTATTTTTTCGACACAATTGCTAACCTATTCATGACCAGCAAATTTTAAACCGTACTGAACTAATCAGTCTGTGAACATGGTCTATTAGCACTCTGACTCTGCTTTTTCTAAAACTCAAGATGCACAGGTTCACTGCTTACTTACATCCTCCACATTGATGTTCTCCTTGGCACTAGTTTCAAAAAGCCTGATGTCCATTTGCTCAGCAAACTTCTGTGCATCATTGGTCTCCACCACCTTTGAGTTGGGGTCATCATTTTTATTACCCACTGTGCCAAGATGAACAAGGAGCAATTAACACAGGCAAGGAATAAAAGCTTAAATTAATGGCAATTAACAAAGGAAAGAATGTCACAGCAATGCAGAGGATACTGAATCTGCTTAGTTCTGATTGTTCTTTCAGCTGACCGGCAACCTAGTAGTGCTAAAAAGATAAGAAGGATAAAGAGCAACAATGTAGCTGAAATGCAGGGTTGGGCAGGGTGATTACATGCATTTTAAGGATAATATGTAGTGTATATTCCATAATACTAGCGGTAGCTAAATTCTTAGCTAGTAAGCAGTGATATTGTGGTTTGGATGTGTTTTTCCACCTTTGGCTTCAAATTACATCATTTTAATTTGTTTTAGCCACATACTATAACCAATGAGCTAACAATAAGAAAGAAAGACTTTGTTAATAGTTCAGTAGTTGGGTTACTCTTTAATCCAGATCCTATGTACCTCTTTTCAGGTGTCTCCAGTTTAGGAAATGGGTAAAATCTATTCCCCCCTCCAAACTTGCTATGGTCCAATTTATAAGAATCCATGCATAATGTACTCGTACGGACATATGCAAAAGTTTAAACACCACCAGACAAGTGAAAATGAATTAACACCTCCCCTACAGAGAAGACACTTAAATATGGCATTTTTCTGTTAATCTTAGAGCACAATTTATGTTTATTTGCCAAGTTTAACATATTGGATAAAAATAAAAACAAAGTAAAAATATGCCATAGCTTTTGCACGTGCCACATTTCATGTTTTATGTTAAATTCAGCAAATAAACAGTAATTGCACATAAAACCGACCAGAACTGTGTTCACCGAAGAGGACGTACTTTAATCAAATCGAAACATTAATCTGACCATGGACAAAAACTTGGCACACAACTGTATGCCTTACTGTTATGAAAGCTAGTCAGAGGACACTGGGCTTGGTTACTGCTGCTAAGCTATACTGGACAACTAGTATTGAGGGGATGGGTTTAGTTCAGGGTCAGTTCTGCAGTCTTCTGTACTACAATATACTCATACACAGAGAAAATCTTCTATATTAACTCTTAAATTTTCTTATTCTACAATAATCTTCTATATTCACACAAACTCACATACACATGAGGCATGACAGAGTAAATTCAGAAGGCAACAAGTTATAAACTGTAGATATTTTTCTTTACATGTATGTCAAGCCAGAGAGAGAAGAACCAAAACACTCACCTAGTATTCGACAAACATCGTCACAGTTCTGGTTGATTTCATGAAGCCACCGTTTGACATTTACAAAGGACTCTGCACTCGTGACGTCATAAACCACTATCACCCCGTGTGTGCCTCTGTAGTACCTGCAGAGAAACAGTTCAGGATTTCAGTTGCTTTTCTCTTAAATGCCTGCATCCCAAAACACACCCTCTAAACAATGATTAACTCCTCTTCTGTAACTCTGTCTGCTTAATGATGATAAAATAAGTTTATTCTAGTTTCAGTACTTAATGAGCAAAAACATACAATATACACTATATGTTCAAAAGTATCAGGACCCCCCTTCTAATAAGTTAATTCAGCTACAGGGCTCAAATTCTTCACTTCTATTTTATTTTTCCCTGAGGTTCACTTATAACATCTGCATGGTTTTATTTACCAAAAAGCAGCTGCAATTCAATTTTACACTACTATTTTCCAACCTCTCTTTATTGCTTAGAATTAAATTGGCTGTGCTAAACTGCTGTAGGCTGAATAGGTGGTATATGTAAAGAGTTGGTCTCTGTGACTGCATGGGCTGCATGGACTGGGAAGTGACCCCTCATCTAGAGGTCTGAAAACTTTCTTAAAAAAAAAAAAAATCCATATCATTTGTGTTCTACTGTCTTCATAAAGACTGATGATTGTGATATAATTTGTAGATTGTAGAAAATTTTGTCTTTTAAGGGCCCACATCATGGAAAACAAAATAATTCTCATTTTTTGGAATAAAATAGGTCAACACAGAAAATAGACATTGCTAAAGTTTCAAAACATACCAATTACTCCTCTGTCCATAAATTCTGTATACTGAAACCAAGCTGCAAAATCAGCCTGCTTTGAATTCACTGTTTATGTGATGTCACGAAAACCAAACCAAATAAGTAAATCCGCCTTTTCAGACAACAGCATATTAGCCCTGCCTAGTCACGCTTAAGTTACACACAATGATTCAGCCTGGACTGCTTTTTGAAAGGGACACAATACACGGCAGCCAAACAGAACAAAGCTCATTTACATATACCAGTCTTAAAGGCACAATCGAGGCCAGGTGGAAAATGGTAATGTAACAATGAATTATGTCTGCTTTTGGTACATAAAACCACTATATGTGGACCTCAGGAGGAGAAATAAATGCATAAAAATATGATTTTATATGGATATTGGCCTTTGAAATAATATGATCAATTATACTTAGCATAACCAGGGAATAAGCTAACCTGATTTCAGGTTTACTTCAATACCCTTTATTTGAGAAGAAATACTGGATGAGCAGGTGTTCACAAACTTACATACACACAGCGTAATTTGACCACCAGGTTTTGAGGAGACAATTACAACCTACTAGAATCACTATCTGCGTCAATTAAGTTCTATAATCAAGACTGGTGTTAGGAGGAGTCAGGTGACGGAACTGATATTGAAGAAAGGCCACTACTTCGCTCAGATATGATCATGTTTTAAAATAATGGAGAGGAAGGGGTTGGCGTAGAAGGACAAGCGTGGTGACCTGTGGCTGCATCACTTCCTGTAACCGTTTCCACAGACAGGAAGTGGTCACCTGAGAAAAACCATAAAAGCCTGTAGGATGCAACTACTATCTGCTGTTTACTTTGCAAACACTTAGAGGACAGTTTTGAACCTACATTTTCACAACCAGTTGGTTACAGAGTGAGGAGAGGAATCTGACAGGGAATTGAACACAAGCTTACGCACACAAACTTCATTAGTTTTGGGCCATGTCAGCAGCCTTGCTTGAGACTGATATTCCTTTCCCACTGATTTTGAGACAGAACAGTGCTGGATGGCTAAAATCCATTTACTCTAATGAGAGACCATGCCACTGCACTCCAGCATACCAGCAGGCTTCATCAACAACAACAGGCTTCTGTTCACCTCATCAAGACACTGCAAGTTTGTGTGTATGTTGGTAAGTTGTATACAGCTCTAAGGCAGTCCAAGGAGCAAAAAAAGGGTTTACAGTAGCACAATGTATCAATTAAATTATCTCCACAGTTATGTACATGCAGTGAAGGTATTTCACCACTGCAGGATTCTGCACAGGTCTAGACAGTTTCCTTGATTCTAAGGTCCAAGCAAATTTCAGACACAAATGTGGGCGGGGGGATAACTTATAGTCAAGATAAAAATCACATCACTTCAAGAATTAACCCACTCTGTGTCTTAAACTATGCTAGGCCACACCACACCACAACATAAAACCTAAGCTAAGAATTACAGACTGATATGTGAACTTAACCTTAGTGTTTTGAAACTGCATTTATAGAGCAGACTAAAAGGAAGGTAGTTCAGACTTGTGGTTTTACACTGTCTGAAAAAGGAAGTGAGACGGCTTTGAACTGTGGTTCCTTCCATTTCCTTGATGAGATGGCGTTCATGTAAGTATATGGTAAGTGGCTGTTTTCAAAGAGAACTTTAATGAATAACTAAAAGGTTTATATATTCTTCCAACTAAATTATAAAAAGCATTGATACCAATGTTCCTTAAATAGGTTACTTTTTGTCAGTAGTCAAAACAGCACAGTTTAATCACACTTAATCACAGCTTTCTCAGTATTCTTTCACACTCTGAAGAATAAATAGCCTATTAGTGAAAACCAAGGGCCACATTTATAAAACATTCACATTGATTTGATCTTAAAACGGCAGTATGTGCAAATTCATTTTTATATGTTAAATGTTTCATAAAACTTGAATTTGATGTGAAAATCTGTGTAGAGCTCAATGCAAGTTTCCAGCCTATATCACTGAAAAACACATTTTTAATGCAGCATATAAACACTCCAACATTCCAAATATACCATTCACTCCTAAGTCAGTAAACTGCATATATGTAAACTAAGCTGTAAAAACAGCCCATTCTGAATTTACTCTTTCTGTGATGCGATGAAAATCTACTTTACTACATTTATCTATATCAACTCTACAGAGACTACAGTGTTTTAGCCCATATCATTCATGCTTAAGTTATAAGGAATGTTTCTGCCTTGACTGCTTTTTGAATGACACAGGGCAACCAATCAGAACAAAAGTCATTTACATATATCAATATTGACGACACAATAACAAAAAACAGTCTAATTCACACCTGTGCCAGTGTGACAAACGTGGGTGGCACAAAGCATCAACCCATCTCGGATGTTTTGGTATCTTTGTTTCTGATGACCATAACAAGGCATGGAATGAGAGCAATGCTTGAATTAAACTTCAGCTCTGTCCATTCAACATGTTCAAGTTTGAAACAAAAAAGAAACGGACTGAAGTGCAGAGCAATAGCAGTGGTTGGCAGCCTGTCTTGCGACCTGGCTGTGAGATGTACAAAGGTATAACGAGGTACTCACGTAGAAGTGATGGTACGGAACCTTTCTTGTCCCGCCGTGTCCCAAATTTGAAGCTTCACCTTCTCTCCATTTATCTCCACTGTCCTGATCTTGAAATCCACACCGATGGTGGTAATGTAGCTACCTGAAGTGCACATATACATCAGGGCAAAAGATTACACAGCTGATATGGAGGGCACAGTGATATGGCTGACTGCTGTTAGATCAACACCGAAAGAAAACTGCACACTCAATGTAAATTTTGTTTGATTCTTGTTCTTGTTTGGGCGGTAAAGCCGAAGTCATTGCCAATGTTCACTTCTTTCAAGTTTCCAAGTAAGAACACTCTATTTGTAAACTAGGTTGTGGCCACATGAGGAGTTAAGTTACCCTTAGCTATTATTTGCTGACTGTTGGGAATGAGAATGACATTCAGGAGTGTCGTACCTGAAAATGTGTTGTCTGCAAACCTCAGCAGTAGACTGCTTTTCCCTACACCTGCAGAGAGAAGACATGAAAGGAAAAAAAGAGGTTGAAATGGAAACTCAGTAAAGAAACAGTGATACAGACACTGAAGCCCGAGAGCACAGCAATGTGACCTGCACTTGCTAAAGGCAGTTAGCTGACAACCAAAAAAGGCAAGAGAAAAAGTAACAGTTAATAGCCAAAGATCACACAAAACATGGGTTAAAATACATCCACCTAAATGACACGTGAAACCACTGTGAACTGAATTGTTCGGTGCAACACTGTCTAACGTTAGGTTAGCTGTCTAAGTATAACCATATTACTAAGCGACTAGCTAACTAGGACAACAGGGATAACAGTCGGTCACTATAGCTCAACTAGCCAGTTGTGTGTCCTGCTTTAATTCACATTATTATGCCATATAAATAACAACTCAGGCAGCAACGTTTATCTTCCAAAAACAACCAAAACATGCAGGTGTGAGCTAGCTAGCGTTAGCCACCTCCCCAGCTACCAATAATGTACCAGAGGCTAAACTTGTGGAGAGACGAGTAGTGAGGAAAGGCTAATCTATAAGCCGATTTTAGCAACTTTATGGGTTCAGCCTTCCATTTTTCCAACCACCGTTGACGCGTGGAAGTTTTTATATGAGACCGCGTTACGGTAGCTGCCACAGCTGCTCCCCGCCCAGCACGACTCAACGTCCGCTAACAAGACCCAGCAGCGCCCTGTTTATAATTGCGTTTACTAGCCAGCAGCTAACAGCCGGTCAAACCAGGAGAGCAACTGCCTAAATAGGACAAATTGGTAGCTTAAATTGAACACAACGACACGTTCACTGTAACCTTAAGACACCGCACCGCCAGAATACATTTCCGCGTCGCCGCGGCCCGTTTCCCGTGGCGCATCCTCGGCGTTTCCTTACCGCTGTCGCCGATGATGAGCAGCTTGAAGAGGTAATCGTAGTCCCGCGCCATGCCTCCGCAGCTTCGGTGCCTGTTAGCGGAACACTCCCCGGCCGAGAGGCAGCACTTTCACCTGGAATGCGTCCCCTCCACCGCCTCTGAGCCGGGTGTTTTTAAAGAAGTGTCCGCTCTGTTCAAGGTTCACACCCGTAAGGACATCAGGGCGAGTCTCCCGCCAGCCCAGCCTCGCTGCGGCTCAATAGCTCAAATCCCGCCTTCACCGCTGCCTGCTACTGCGCAGCCGCATTGAGCATCCTGTGTTGGTGCCGCTACATTGACTGCATCCAAAAACACACAGCACACTAAACTGCTAACAAATATAGATAACAGCAGTTAACTACTGACCTATTTAGCGCGGCAATGGTTTATTTTGGCATTAGCCAATTAATTTATATTGTATTTAAAATGTTCTCCGTGACACAAGCGGTCTCTTTAATTGCTGCAAGTTATAGTCTCCAAAGAAAACGTTGTCCTTTACTCAAACTACTAAGTCAGTTATGATTCCACAGCAAAAACCACCCTTTCATCATCCACTACTAAAAGACAACCCCAATACAGGAAAGCCTCACATTCACACATTACAAAAGAGACGAACACATTTATAGTTTTTCCAGATTTTATTGGTGTTAAATCAGCAGTTACGGTGTTCACTGCAGTTTAGTCGAACAGGCCGAAGCCCATGTCCTCATCAGACTCCTCAGACTCCTCCTTAGCTGGCTCCGCAGCAGCAGGGGCTGCAGCCGTCTCTTGGGCTGCCGCTGCCACAGGAGCTGCCACTGCAGCAAAAGCGGAGGGGTCAGCCAGGAAGGCCTTCACCTGGAGGAGAGCAGATTGACAGCATAAGTTCTCTTCACAATGTAAGTGAACATGAGCCACAATAAAAATAAATGTACCCACTGATAACCCAGGCCATGTGAAATGTAGTTGGTGGAACAGCTACTGAAGTCCAAATTATTGTTTAGGTGCAAGACAGCACAGTAAGAACTTATTTTCTTGAGACAACTCAACGAAAGCACTCAAGAGAGCAATGGTTTCCAAACCTAGGGCCTTCAACATTTGTATGGTCAGATTTACTCTTAAAAAGGACCAAATGTGAAAATTCACTATTGTAGTGATTTATAGAGTGAATGTGCTACAGGTATTACAGTAATTTGTGAATATGTAAAATGGCACAAATGCTGGAAACAAATTTAGAATGAAAGTTTTATAAGTGATACCCCTTCATGGCTGTGCTCCAACACCCTTGATCTAACTAATATGCTGAATTAGAAAAAACCCACCCCTTTAGGTTAACTAAATTCCAGGACTAGGGCTGGTAACCATAGCAGTCTCCACTCATATGTTCTATGTGACAAAGCCAGCCTTTGCTGGTCTGTCCATCAAATCCATGTAGTGTCTGAGACAGTGTCCCTGTCTGCTGAAGGAAGCAAGCAGACCGGGATTGGAAGAAACCAGTTTCTATTTGCAGGGGGAACGACAGAACAGCACTGCAGCAGCTGCTTTGTAACCTAACCTGCAGAGGACGAGATACTGTCCCACAACAGAATAAGGGAAGATGCGATTTTACCTTATCAGCCAAGGGGAAGGAGTAGTCAGTCTCCACTGCAACAGCCAGCACCCTCTTGTATCCATTGATGACAGAATGGGGGATAGAGGCGAGAGTGGGGTAGCCAATCTGCAGACACACACTGGCAATGTTCCTCACACCCTGCAAGACAAAAGGCATGGAGATGTAAGGGAAACAGATCAACACCCAGCTTGACCATTTATGCCATCAAACATGACTACAAAGTCAGTAGAGTGCTGAATTACTATGAATTAAGAAGCACAATCTATTCCAGGGCACCATTTACAGACAAAAGTAATGTGTGAGACCAAGCGTCCCTGCAAGTTGTTGGATTGTCAACAGACAGGGATAGTAGGAAACAAGTTTATTTATGCAGGGGGAACGACAAACCAGCACTGCGTTAGCTGATATGTAACTGAATCTGCAGTAATTATAACATGACAAATGTCCAGTTCTGGTAGTTTCACATGCTTACTCACCTCTAGGAACCTCTTGTGCAGGGCATCCTCAGTGATGTCCAGCACCTCAGGGCTGTAGACGCTGCCATTGTCATATACCTGCTGGATGATCAACCCGTAGGAAAAGGGCGAGATGTTCAGCATGTTGAGCAGCGTGGCCTCGCTGGCACCCACCTTATCTCCAGGTTTAATCAGCTGCACATTGCTCTGTACAGAAAAGAGCAAAGAATTAAAAGTAGTAGTCTCACAGCATGGACATTTGCTGGATCTCCAAATCAGATTCCATCAGACAAGCAATAATTAACTCCATGCAAAGAACAGTGTAAAAAAAAAAACAAACCAAAACAAGACAAAACTAAGAAATCTGTTTTTAACCTTACCAAGATTTCAATGGTTCCTCTGGAGATCTTGGTGGTGATACCCAAAGCCTGGAAGAAGGAAGTCTTCTCAGGACCCAGACCAGTGTTTTGAGCAGGCACAGTCACCTCACAGGGGGCGATGGCACCAGCACGGGCAGCTGCAGGAACCTAACAAGTGCAAGACAAGTTAAAACATTACATCAAGATGTTCATGTGAAACAGGAAAGCAATATTGAGGATAAACAGAACTTACCTTATTGGCCAGCAGCAAGTCCCTGACCTCAGTCAGGTCCTCCTTGGTGAAGACAAAGCCAACATTGCCACGGATGTGGGGGAGCAGCCTGTGAAGCACAGCTTGTCAACATTCCTCAGCAAAACATTAAAATTCCTTCAATACAATATACATTTACATGTGTGAGACCAAGCGTCCCTGAAAGTCGTGGGATGAAGACAGTCAGGGATAGTAAGAAACAAGTTAATTTGTGCAGGGGGAACGACAAACCAGCACTGCATCAGCTGATTCATAACTGTTCCTGCACAGCTTTTGTGTCAATAGATCATGTCCTCAGATCATTTACTGCTACACATAGGAGTGAGCAAAGGCTTCTTTAAAAAAAACAAAAAAAAAAAAAACAATGATTCAGGCCACAATGAACAAACAAATCTTTGCATACTTCTCCAGAGCTGGGTTGTTCTCCAGGTGGCCACGGATGGCCTTGCGCATCATGGTGTTCTTGCCCATGAGCACGACCGCCTTGCCCCGCAGGGACAGACGAATAGTCTGCATCTGCTTGGAGCCGACATTGTCTGCGCCCACAATGAAGCACTTCGGGTAGTCATTCAGTAATTGCTGTAAAAAGAAAAGAGTTATTTAAAAATGAGAAACAAGGAATTTGATTACACACTGTAAAACACTGGAAATGCAGGGATTATGTCCAAGACATTTTTTGAGCCATGAGATGCAGACAACAAATGAATAACACCAAGATACTTATGCTAAAACTCCTTTACTGCATTTTAATGTGTGAGACCAAGCGTCCCTGAAAGTCGTGGGATGCAGACAGTCAGGGATAGTAAGAAACAAGTTAATTTATGCAGGGGGAACGACAAACCAGCACTGCATCAGCTGATTCGTAACTATTCCTGCACAGCTTAATTCTACAGCTTTTATGTTTCATGTCTCACCATCATCTGAGGCCCTCTGATCACTTAGCGCTATATCTACGCAAATTTCTTAATGACTGAAGAAACCAGAGTTGGTAAGTTTCTCTGCAATAATCCATTTCACACCAACCCCTCTGGATGAGTTTAATACAGGAACATACATTGGTGGCCTTCCCCTGTAATTTATGCCATAGAGGGGAGAAATCCTACTTTAGATTCAAGCAATCCAACACAGAACAGGTAGAAATCAACACTTACAATGATTTTTAAGAAGTAGTTGGACTTCCACGTGGCCCTGTCTTCCCTGGGCATCTTTGCAGTGCTTCCAAGGATCGGTTAACAGCCGGTTTAAAGACAAGGTGATTAACTTAAATACAAAAGACAAAAAAAAAACACTTTAGTCACAACATTGCAAACAGTGTGGATTATAACAGCCAGGGAACAAAATTAGGTTATACAAGTATTTTAAAAAAGCCACGAGGATAGCATCGTAGCATAGACGATCGGTTACATGGCAGAAAATAATTTTGTAAGATTAGTAAAAACAAACAAAAAAAAACCACGAGGTTGACATATCATTATAAAGTCGTAAGAAATGCTTAAATGAGTGCGGTAGAGTTATAGTCTGTTCCCGACCAACACACACAAATCTCATGCGTGAAGAAACATGGCGCGGAGAGGCCTTAGTTAGCAAACAAGCTAACTGGGCAATTCTCACTGAATGTCTGCCTAAAATACGTTTTGTTCTATAAGGTTAGTCCCAGTTGCTTACAGTTAAAGCTTACTAGTCATATTCGGCTTAAAAGTGGAGACGTAGTTGTCGACAAATTGGGTAAATCTGTGAAAATGTGAGCTCGAACGGCGAAACCCTCACCTCACAGTAGGGACGCGTGGATGAAAAGAGACCGGAAAAAGACGAGGGGCGGTATTATATGACACAGCGGGACACTCTGATTGGTTAATATTGGTGTCACTCTATAGGTTCAGTCGCGTGCGTCATACTTTCACTGCACAGTCATACATACATACATACATACGTCATCTAAACCGCTTATCCTCTTGGGTCGCGGGGGGTGCTGGAGCTCACTGTACAGTCGAATTATTAAATCTATTAAATCAAACAGTCTCTCTCCAAGCCTAATTTTATTCATCTTTGGAAGATTTCAAACAATATGTCATCATCAAACAATTTTGGAAAATAAGAACGCACGAATGGCAATCAAAGCAATCAAAGAATTGTTTTTATTTGTACCTCTTGTTACTTTTTGCACTATTTACGCATAATATAATATAATAGATAGATAGATAGATAGATAGATAGATACATAGATAGATACTTTAAAGCTCTCAGAGAACCCTCTAACAATTCATACTTGTGTGCAGTGGGCCACAAAGCCAATACTGCCCAGGCCAGTACTGAGGGTATGAGGGGTGTCTGTAGTGGGCCCTTGATGCCACTTTGTCATAAAAATCAGTGAAAAAATATTTTACTTAACAAAAAATAAATAAATAAAAATAAATAAATAAATAAATAATTCCCCCTGACAATCCACTTAATTTGCCATCATTCTGCCTGATTTTTGGTCTAAAACAAGTTTATGTTGGCCTACTTTGTTGATCTTTTATGTTTACTGATATGTATAATGTGTTGCAGGGGTTGTCACCCAAACATACCTGCGCTGAAAATTTCCCAAAAATGACATTTTATGCAGTTCTGAATGTAAAAAATATTGGAAAATTCAGAATGTTTTTGCATGAACACATTAATATGTACTCGCCATCAAACCCAGTAGGTAATTCACCACTGTTGGACTTAGTTATATCACTTCAGAAGAGGGTTGGATCTCCTTTGGACCATCCTTTGCATATTTACACTGTAATTCTTATGATGAGATAGAATTGTTTTATTTTTGCAAATAGCTGATTAACAGCGTTGGCTATGTCTCTTCTGTTGGCTCTATGACCCCAGACAGGCCTGGGGTCATAGATGTGCTGATGTGCTGATGTGCTAACACTCCTAAGCAATTTAAAGTGATGTGAAAATCAAGGTACTACCACAACTGTGCACCAATTCTATTAGATAACAGCATCAAACATTGCCTTTACGTATTAACACTCACACACAGGCTCAAAAAGAAGGCCTGGCTCAAAGTTTAGGTCATCAAAATTCACCTACGTCTTCAGAAGACACAGCTTAATGCTGGGGGGCTTTATATGCCTCCAATGGACGCTTGGCATTGAGGACGGGGACATAAGACATAAGCATTTCTAAGTGTTTCAAACTCCTCTCATAAGCAAAATTGAGCATAATAAAATATAGGTTTTCTGCTTTATTTCTGTTGATTTAACCAGATATCTACTGTATTACTGTGAGTACTCATGCATGGATGGTATTTATTTATTTATTTATTTATTTATTTATTTTTTGACCAGGGAACTCGTCTCATATCAGAGGGATGAAAATGACCATACTGGACATATCAGACACCAGCAGTGACATGGACTTTCCTAGAAACACTGCAGTTCTGCAGCTCTGATAGAGGAAAGACTGCACTGGAAGGACTTGCTGATGTTCCCACAGTGTTTGTGGTGCTGCATGGATGACTTATGCACTCAGCCTTGAATACTGACAAGTAGGAAGTACATGATTGAAACTGTTTAGAAGGTATTTCTGCCTGTTTGTGAGCAGTCACTGCTAAAACTATCACTGAAAGACTGTCTGCCGAGGGTCTAGACTGCTGGAGCTTCTATAACAATTGCTTTTAGACACCAATTCTTTACTGTGTTATTGTGTCTTTATTCCATGTTTTAACTATAAAAAGCTGAATTATCTTGACTGTCTTAATTAGTCTTAATAATCAGATTCATACAAACTATTTGAATTTCAGTGAAATGTAAATTGTTTGTTGATTTCAGCAGGACACTGTTAAAAATCCTTGTGAGAATTGTTTTAAATGGCAGTGCCGGGCACAGATACCTTGAGCTGAAAAGAGCTTTTACTTTCATTTATGCTACACATTATAAATGTTTAAAAAAATGTCTTTATTTCAACAGTTTTAATTAGAGTTAATTGTAAACACAGTTAAGTGCACAAATGTACAGTATTGGAAAGAATACTTTAATTAAGTAGTGATGTCTGAATACTGAGTACACTGTCACATACTCAGTAATGTATTGCATTACAATACAAAAAAAGACACATATACAGATTACAGTTGGCGCATTGAAAAACTCTTCTGGTGTATTTTTTTATTTATTGACGCATGAAAGCATTAATATCACCAACTCACTATCAAACCCAGTAGACAATTGACCACAGTTGGACTTATCTACTGTTATGCTAGTGTCCTACTGCCCAAAACCTGTTTGCTGTAAGAAAAAAGAAATACCCTGGTAGGTTTTCTTTGCTTTTTAGCGAAATACATCCTTCTACATTCTAAAATCAAAAGAAAGGTCCTAAACAAGTGGTTAGAAACTATTTTCATTTTAATTTTTAGTGGTTTAGCGTTAGCTCGATTCACCCCATTCAATGAGGACTCGCTCGCGGGCGCCCTCTGGCGGTTTGCACTCATGTCTTTGATACAGTGGGAAGAGGACAGGAAGAGCCAGGCTCTGAACCTGTCCTCTGTGGCCTCTAGGTGGAGCCATTCAGCAGAGCTTGAACGCACTCGTCAAAATTATTTCCTGTTTTTCTGTGTGGACCACCCTGGCGACCCCTTGGGACCACGTCGCGACCCCCAGCTCAATAACCTCTGATCTAATTATACATTCAAGACATTTATTGGAAAAATAATGTAAAACAGAGCAGTGAACGCTAGACCTGTTTCAGCACCTTGGATAGTTCATCATCATCATCATCTCTCTCTCTCTCTCTCTCTCTCTCTCTCTCTCTCTCTCTCTCTCTCTCTCTGTCTCTCTCTTTGTGCCAACTTTACTTCCTCTTAAAGGGTTTCTAAAAGGAGGATGTTTTGTATCCATTATGTTCCGCTTTCCATTTGCCTCTACTTTTTGTAAAAAAATAAATAAATAAAAATTAAAGTACTTTGTGTCCAGAGTTTGTTTGAATGATCTGCAAATGTAACATGTAAACCATATTTTTAAAGGTAAATACTACAAAGACAACATCTCAAATGCTGAAACTGAAAAATTATATTGGGTTTTGGCCAACAACACTTTCCAAAAAAGTTGGGACGGGGGGCATGTGTTACATCACCTCTTCTTTTAACAACACTCTGTAAGCATTTGGGAACTGAGGAGACCAACTGCTGTAGTTTTGAAAGTGAAATGTTTTCTCATTCTTGTTTGATATAGGATTACAGCTGCTTAACAGTTCAAGGTTTCCTTTGTCGTATTTTTCGTGTCAAAATGTGTCAAATGTTTTCAGTAGTGACAGGTCTGGACTGCAGGCAGGTCAGTTTAGTGCCCTGACTCTTTTACTACAGAGCCATGCTGTGGTAATGCATGCAGAATGTGCTTTGACATTGTCTTGCTGAAATAAGTAAGGCCTTCCCTGAAAAAGACGTCATCTGGATGGCAGCATATGTTGCCAAGACCTGTATATATTGTTCAGCATTAATGGTGCTTTCACAAGACACCCACGCCATGTGCACTAATGCACCCTTATACCATCATTAATACTGACTTTTGAATTGTGTGCTGATAACAAGCTGAGCAGTCTGTAGCCCGGAGGACACAGTGTCCATGATTTCCATAAAGAATTTCAAAAGTTGATTTGTTGGACCACAGAACACTTTTCCACTTTCCCTCAGTCTGTCTTAAATGAGCCCGCGTTTTAGAGTTTTAACTTGCATTTGTGGATGCAGCGACAGTTTTCACAGTGGTTCTCAGAAGTGTTTCTGAGCCCATGCAGTGATTTCCACTACAGAATCATGTCTGTTTTTAATGCAGTGGCGCCTGAGGGCCCAAAGATCATGGCCAGCACGTCCAGTTTTTGATCTTGTCCCTTGCATATAGAGATTTCTTCAGATTCTCTGAATCTTTTAATGATATTCTATACTGTAGATGATGAAAAGCAAAAGTTCTTTGCTATTTTATGTTGAGAAACGTTATTCTTGAATTGTTGCACTATTTGCCTGCACAGTCTTTCACAGAGTGGTGAACGCCTCCTCATCTTTACTTCTGAAAGACACAGACTCTCTGGGATGTTTTCGCACCTTAGTTTTTACATATGTATATGATTTAACAGTGTTTAAATAGCACATGAAACACTTCTATCTCAAAAAGCCTACAAAATTGTTTTTTTTTTTTATTACATAGGCCCTTTAAAGACAGACAGTGCTTAAATGGGGAACCTCTGTGAATGTTAATGTTTGGGCTTTAGTTACCTTCCTTGTGGTGAATGAAAACAGCTATTTGTTCAGCTGTGATAGAGCCTTTTCGTTTACTGGAAGGGAAATACATTCTGTTATATTTTGAAGGAAATGACTGGTTAAAGATTGGCTGTTGTTTCTACGTCACAGAAACAGATGCTGGCTGTGTTGGAATGAATGAGTTACCATAGAGAAATGATTACAGTCGCTGTGGATACAAAAGAACGTTCTAAAGCAAAAACCTTTGAAGACAGCGCATTTCAAACTGCTCCCTCAGAGACTGAACTCTCATTATTCCTGAGATCTACCTGCTCTTTCACACCAACAACAGCTTTTCTGAATTGTCAACTGATACATTTACACACATTAAACACAGATATTTCTGTAACGGTTATTATTGACTGGATAAATAACTTTGTTTAGCTGTGTTTTATATTGTTAGCTAACGTTAGCTTAGCTCTAGGATTAGCTGTACGTAGCTTAGCTTAGCCTAGTGTGTTGTAGTAGTGTAGTAGTGTTTGTAGGATTTGTTTTTTCAGGTTTTCTCTTTCAGGTCTCTTCTTTTAGGCTGTAAGTGAATTAATAGCTCC